TGATATTTCCCTTCAAAATATATTTCATGTATAGAATATATTCAACACTTTTCAGTCAACTCGGTACACTACCTCCTTTTCACTTTTAAGAGAAATCTAGGTAAGAGGGGAGAGTAGGATGAAAATGATAAGTATGAAGATTGATATGACCTTGTATCGCAGTCAACTGTTACCAAGGATAAGTCCCTAGTGATCTATGCAGATGGCAGATGCCACAGGAGAACTCACCTGGCCTCTCAAACCTTCGCTTCCAAGATTGGTTCCTTCTTGATGCTGACGCCCTTTCTTCTACCTGGAACATTCAGTCCTTCCTCCTGTGTCTCTTTTTGTCAGTCTTCTAGGGATTTAAAAGTTCATCTCTGATTCTATCCTTTCTTTTCCACTTTTGTAGATTTCTATCACCAACTGACTTCCATTTCCCCTCCTCAGAAGTTTCTTAGTAACTTCTTTAAAGGGTGTGGATATGCAAGACATACCATCTACCTGGGACAAGTCCAATTTAACAAATCAGGAAATCTAAACTTCAAACTTGTATCTGTGGTTATTTTCTACCTGAAGTTTCTTTTTCTGAGGCCCACTCTATTTCTCCCCATTATATTTTGGCCACTTTATGGCACTAAAATGCATGTGTGTGTGTATTTTGTCAAAGAACTGCTGCTAGAATTTGTAGTAGGATGCAGGCGATAAATTGCTAATCAACATGAAGCAGAGACTTTCTTTAGGCTAAAGGCATAATCAGAAACACTTTTATAATTCAAAATATTTAAAATGATGTTTTTGTAGCCAGAAATGAGCACCATGATTTTTGGGGGGTTGTTTAAAAAGCTTGAGAAAAAAATGCTAATGGTGATTATCAAGGAAAACAAATATTTGATTTGCTTCACATGAATATGAAGAAAAATAAAGGGATATTTATAAATAATTATATGCATATATATATTTATATATGCCCATATTTACACATATGTAGGTGCTCAAGGTAGGTACATGAATGTTTAAGGTTATCTGAAATAATATAAACTAAATTTCTCCTAATATCTTTAGCATATCAGAAAGCCACTTCAAGAATATTTTTTCGGGACAAATTTTAGAGTAACTTTTAAAAGAGATTCCTTAAAATATGTTTTCTTGTTTAGTATCATGTATACAGTTCCTTTCTGAAATTTCTTAGTTTTATCACTGCAAAACAGTCACATCATAACAGACCTGGCAAATATTTTAAACGAAAAGAAACTAAAATTCACAGAAACAAGAAAAAAAATCTACATTTCATTATTTTAATGGATTTTAAAGTGTATAAGCACTTTGATAGATTCTATTTTATATAGGATTTGCTGGTTTTCAAAGTATATAATGCAACAAAAAAGTGAACCTAGCTTCTTTTTTCTTGTTCATTGGAGCTATCACATCTCATCTATCAGACTTCTAAGTAGAATTTTAAAAGTGGGGTACTCTCTCACGCCCAAGCACTATGTAATTAGCATATGAATGTGTAACGGATTGTTTGAAGTAACAATTAAGGGAACAATACATAAAGGAACTGAAGGGAGCTACCAACACCTGGGAATCTTGTATTGAAAACGCTTTCTTAATGTAAGTAATTAAAAACCAAGGACAAACGTTCATTGTATAGGGATAAAGCTGTACAAGGAAAGCTAAAAATCTGCTGATATTTTGCTGTCATCCTTCAGAAAGAATCATTAACACTAGAGCTTACTATTCAGTAGGTTTGAAAGAATACTTGTTAAATGGAGGTTTTGTATGGCATCTGATCTTCTAAAGTCATCCAAATGCATTTAAATGACAAAATATCTTAAATTCGGAAAATATTTATACTTAAAATATGTAAAAGATGACAATAAATCTTCTCTATGGTCAGTGCAAAGTTTCAGAGGAAAATTTCAATTGATTGCCAGATCATATACCAAATATATATTCAATTATTTACAATTTATTTGTCTAAATAATTCCTACTAGTGAAACCTTAGCCCTCTGTATTGTTTTGTTTTATTTTGGTCCTCTTAGCGGCGTGATATAAGCGTTCATGCTCGGGCAAAGCACCTTAGGAGAGTAACCAATAGCTCGGGGTTGTTAAGAATCCTTGACATTGGGGAAAGATTAGTGGAGTAGAAGGCAGGAGCTATGCATCATTATAATTTCCATTTTTAGCACTTACAAACTGTACAAACAACTTACATTTCTTTGGCATAAATTGCCTTATCTCTAAAATAGAAATTATTTTTTCTAGACTGTTAAAGTCTGAGTCCATAATCCTTTATGAACCTTTCTAATATCCAGTTGCATATACTCATTTATAATGAAGAAGCTCTTTTCCTTAGAATGTAATTGAAATTGATTCAGTCGTAAATGACTACCATCTTATGGTAGTCAACTCTATTTGAAAAATAAATTGTGAACCTAATATTTCATTTTTAAGTGGAGAAAAACAAATATATAGATGAATATTTATAGCAGCATTATTCATAATAGCCAAAAAGTAGAAACAACTCAAATATCCATCAGTTGATGAATGGATAATAAAATGTGGCATATCAATTGTCAAAACAAAAATTGTACCAGACAAAGTTAAACAGGCAAGGAAGAGTTTGTTCAAGGCGATTGTAATAGGGAAGGGAAGCCAAAACCAACTCTGGGCTCAACTCCTAAGAAGCATAAGGGGGAAGGGGTTTTTAAGTGCTGGAGTGAGCTATTTGGATAATAACTGCAGGACATTTGGGGGAAGTCATAGGTTATCTGTGTTTGCTAGCTGACTTTATCCAAAAATAAATAAATAAATAAATACACTCATGTCTTTATGATGGGAGGTAGTTTTTGCAACTTTGAGCAAGGCTCCCCAATGAAGTTAGGCTCCTACCCTCCATCTAAACTGCAAGATAAGGATGTTATTTCTTTTGTTGATTCCATTTCAAAGAGGTGGTTTTTCAGGTCCTTGAGAAGTACACTTAGTCAAATTGTCAGGTGGCTGTTAAAAAGATTTACATCTCAAAGGGGCAGAGAAAGAATTACAACCTTTCTAATGTAAATGTTATAAAAAAAAGGAAAGTCAGAGGCCTACAGTTAGGGAGAGCCTTTCTAGAGTTTAGTGAAGCTAAGGAGAACTTTAAGGCTGTCCTACTCACCATGCAGTAGAATATTCTTGAGCAGGAAAAAAGCATGAAGCATTGATAACTTGCTGTACCACGAATAAACCTTGAAAACATTATGTGAAGTGAAAGAAGCTGGTCACGAAAGGCAGCATATTGTATGATTCTGTTTATATGGAAATGTCCAGAGACAACGTAAATTAGTGGTTGCCTAGGGCTGGGGGTGGAGGTGGGATAAGGGTGGCAGCCAAAGGGTATGAAGTTTCTTTTAAAGGTAGTGAAGATGTTCTGAAATGATTTGTGGCGGCAGTTGCACAACTGTGGAAATATACTAATTGAATTGAATTGTGCACTTTAATGGGTGAATTGTGTGATATAAATTATATTTCAATAAAAATATTGTAGAAAATATGTGTTGAAATGTGCTACATGGCCAATGGAATATTTACCTAGTTCAATGGATTTTAAAAATTTAAATAAAAACAAAATCTTTATTTCTACAAGATAGGTTTTCGCTTTGAATAATCTATGGATTCTAAATGTGCATTTCTGATAGCTGGTCTGCCTTTTAGTTTTTGTAAAATAGCTTAATAGTTATTTATGACTATGTTGTAATAATCAGAGAGTATATGACACAGAAGAGAGGAAAATAATTTCTGAAATGTCCTTGAGATTTTTGCATCCATGACACTGGAAGCTGTCTATAAAGAGAAAACAACTGTAGAGAGAATAAGAAGAAATAGTTTCTTTTCTGAAGCGATGAAAAAACTGTGTGTGTGTGTGTGTGTGTGTGTGTGTGTGTGGTGTATACATATAAAATAAATGCTTCCATTCGAATGAATTTCGTATTCACAGAACCCAAATTTAGGAATGAGTAACGTTCCACAAGTTCATTTGTAAACTAGCTATCAGTAGCCTTTTCTACGGAAACAGTTCTACCAACACTGATCATGTTCTAAACCTAGCCTACAAAGATTTGTTTTATCCACAATGTAGCTGAAATGAAGTATTAATGTTAGTTCAATCAGTATTAAGGGAAAATGACACAGAAAGGAGGAAGATGAATCATAACATCCCTATTTGTTGGGTACAGGCATGGCTCCAGGCAATATTTTGAATTATGCAGAGTGAGACTTTGGCTTTCACCCCATCTTCCTTTCTATATCCCTTGCCCCATGTTCCAGAACTAGAAACTTTCTTTGTGGGTCATGATGCATCCACTACATTTAAGATGCCCTAGGCTTCCCATGCCCTAAACATCTTTGTTAATCCAAAGGACAAACTTGCCCACGCTCTTTAACATAATTTTTCTCCCAGCCAACATACACACATTTAAATTCCAATTTTCTCAGGGCAGCAGATTTCATTTTGCATTAGAAGGGAAGCAAATTTTGAAAGCATGGTAATCTTTGGGTCTCCTAGAAGTATTCAAAGATAAAGCTTAGGTTATATTCATTTGTGAAACTTAGTTTAGCAAAGAGGAAAGAAAGAGAAATAAAATGTGGGTTATAAGCCGCAAAATGACTTTAATCAGTAGGATTTCAGGTATTAGACTTAGGGAATGGTAAGAAAATGTGGAGCTGTCTCCTCTGACCCTAGGATCTCTTTGGGATGAACCCCTCTAAGCTGTGCCTGCTTTACCCAAGTATTTGCTTTGCTCCTGCATGAACTTCAGCATTCTTTAAATGTATTCCCTAAAATTTACACTAACTGCCAGAACAGAGGCCTTAGAGTCTATGATGGTGGTAGTTGAGGGTGAGAGGAGGCAGTGGGAAGGTGACCTGGACAAAAGTACTTCAGAGCCATTTATGGTATGAATGATTTGGGTTTCTTATATTTCTTAATTTGGGGCACTATTTTTCTACCCACTGATCTCTTGGTTTTTCTTGGTTATAGATTGGGCTCATGGATACTACAGACAACAGAGAAAACTTGTTGAAGAGATTGGCTGGTCCTACACAGGTAAACATATTATTTATATAATGAGATTTAGCAGAAATTTGTATTGTTTTATATCTATTTTATATGTAAAATGAAACTTTGTAGTACAACACATTATTTTAATTTAGCTATGTGGATAGTTAGATTAATTAATAAGGTATGTCAAATACAAAATTATCTCTAGTGGGCTTTCTATAAGCAAATTTGGTAGTGAAGAGCATATTGGTATCAACCAGAGGGAGATTTGAATCCTAGGCCCATGCTGGCTAGATTTCTTTGGGAAATATGTATAATCAACCTGAGGCTCAGTTTTTTCATCTGTGAAATGGGGGAAAGGCTGTTCTGAGCATTAAATGAGATAAATAAAGTGTGAAGCACTCAGCGCAGACCCTCCTAAATTGAAAGCTCTCGATAAATGTCAGCTCCTATTGTTATGAGCATGGTAGTGATTATTTTTATTCATTTAACAAAGATTGATGGGATTCTTGCTCTTCCAAGGGCTTTCTTTTGAATTGCTGTGGCTGAGTTTGGTGGAGTCAGAGTCTAAAATGATTTTGTCAAATTACCGGCTGGACTTAGCTTAGAACACCACGAATATCTGAAGTTCGCTTGAAATATTTATAATCAGAAATCATAATCAGAAATGCAGGTGGAGAGGAGGATCTTTTGGCCTGACTGGAAGAACATGGTGGAATTTGGATGAGCCACAACATGCTAGTGACAATTTAGGATGGAGTTAAGCACTAGAGTTGGGTGCTTATTATAAATAAGATTGGGTTGATAAAATAAAATCAGATTAGAAGGGCTTTATCATGAACCTGGCCAATTTTGACTTTATTCTGTAGATGAAGTGCAGTAGTGTGGTGAATTTTGTAGATAGGCATATATTTTCTTTCTTTTTTTAAAATTCTTACTTTAAAAATAGTAAATATTCATTGTAAAAAATTAGAAAATAGGTTCAGGCACAAAGAAGAATGTAAAAATAACTTTTTGCTCAGTACTTTCAGGTATATCCACTAAAAAAATTCTTATAGTCCTTTCAGGGCAGTTTTTATTATCTGAGGTTTGTATATTTTATGTGTAGAGTTATGCATCACATTTACTCTTGAAATTATTTTTGAGCATTTTTTCATTTCAATGATGATCCTGTTGACCATGATACTTAATATATGCCTAATAGTCCATTGAATAAATGTTTTATTATTTAATCAATTCCCTTCTTTTTATATATTTAAGCTTTAGGCCTTTTGTTGGATCAAATGGCCTGAATGTTTATAATATTAATTTATATGGTTAAATTAATGTCAAAAAAGTGTGTTAAGTTTATCAATTTCCCCACTAACAATAGTTTTTAAAATTAGTCAATTTGGCCCAAAATATGAAATTATTTTAATCTGCATATTTCTGATTACTTAACTTCCTACCCCAAACAACAGGGTCCAGGTTAGGGTTTTAGGGGGATATATGGTAAATAAATATTACCTGAAATAATGGCTAATTGAATAAGAATGATAGACATGAGGAGCTAATGTGAGAAGTGAATGATCCTTTTCATGAAGATGGAGAATAGACTAGTGATTACCAGAGCCTGGGAAAGGTAGGAGGGAGGATGAAGCGAGGTGGATTAATTAATATAAAGATATAGTTGAATAAAAGAAATAAGACCCAATGCTCAATAAATCAGGAGGGTGATTATAATAAACAGTAGTCTATTACATATTTCAAATGGCTAGAAAAGGATAATTCATATGTTCCCAGCATAAAGAAAAGATAAATGTTTAAGGTGATGGATATCCCAGTTATCCTGGTCATTATACATTATATGAATGTATCAAAATATCACATATACCCTTGAAATATGTACATCTGTTATATATCAATTTAAAAAAATGGATGATCCTTGCATTTATCTTAAACAATTTCATTTGTCTTTTTGTAAAAAGTGCACATCATCTTCCATTTGAATAAATTTGGGTATTAGTTTCTCTAGATTTGATTCCAGGCACTGGACTAATTTCTTTTGTATTATATACATAACTTAACAATATAAAAATTTTAAAGCAAGTTATTTTAATACTGTAAAACTGTAAAATACAGTTTTAAGTACCTTTAAATTGTATTTTTTGAAGCAAGTTATTTTAAGTAAAATACAATTTTAAGTACCTTTAAATTATATTTTTTATTATTTTATTATAAACTGAAAATGTATAATTATATATATTTATATGGTACAAAGTGATGTTATGATTTATGGATAGACTATAGAATAATTAAATCAATACAATTAACATATCTATCCCCTCAAATACATATCATTTTTGTGATGAGAATATTTAAAATTTACTTTCTTAGCATTTTTAAAGTGCGTAACACTGTTATTAACTCTATTCACCATTTTGTACAATTGATCTAAAAAAAAACTCACCTTACTCCTCCTGAGACTTTGTACACTTCGACCATCATCTACTTTAAATTGTATTTGAAAAAAGATTTTTGAATCAGACACCTGACATACAAGGAAAAATCTTCCCTTAGTCTGACTTTATTCAAATAATATTAACAATAAAAGAATCTTTGAATAAAAACAAGTCAAAAGATAAATTCAAAGGAAAAGGTAAAAATTTTGTAAAAAGTAATTGCTAACATGCTTTTTTACTTCTGAAACAATTGGGAGTCTTGGGTATTTAAATATACTTTCTGATTACATGATCCAAATATATTGTTGCTATTAATGAATTATCTAGGAAATTTCTTTAAAATTACTTTTACTATAATAAGTAAAAGTCTAAATCATCCTCCTAAACTTTTGGTTGGTATTATGTTATTTTCTTTAAAAATTAATGTTATCACTTGTTTTTATAAAGAGAAAGTTGCTTTTAGACAGGAAGTAATATGTATGTGTTGATATAAAAGATAAATCTTTTACATTATGTTTTTATTATATATGTACTAAGAATTGGGTTATATGTTTATTAAGTAATGTAATAATGTGTTGTCTTTTCAATAACTTTATAGTTTTATATACTATATAACTTTATATACTCATTTTGTCCTTCTTTTTCCACAAAAGAGAAATCATAGTGTTTTATGAAAATTATGGCCATGTTTAACTCCCACAGTAATTATAATAAGCATGTTAGAAAAGATTATGAATACTCAGAGTATATCCCTAACCATGGAAGATGACATTACAAGGGAAAGCTCCCAGTTCTCTTGGAAGCTATTTTCTAAGATCATCATCTGGGCAATATTTAATGCAAGATATCTTTGTAGATGATTATTTAGGTATTGCTGTTATTAGTTTAGGAATACTGCTTCCAGGATTAACTTTTCTCCAAGGAATTTTTTCATGACGATTAAAAGTGTACTTGTTTTAACCTTTTACATTCATATTTTTATTTTTGGTTCTTAAGAATATCACAAGCCAACTTTTAAAAATTCACCACTCTACTTTTTAATATGGTGTTTGCTTCATTAAAAAAGTAATATGTAGCAGTTATAGAAAACTTAATATATAGAGATATGATCATAGAATAAAAGTCAGACTAATTTAGTTTTATTAACAACTAACTTCATACTTTCAGAGGAGGAACTAAAAAAGCAGGTTGTTTTTCTCTAACCATTGAACCTTTAAACAGAGAACTTAGATATTGACCAGGTATGTATGAATAAAATGAAAAACAAAGTTTAATGCAGCTTCCATTCTCCTTAAACCCAGAGTCAGAAAACAGAGGACCTACCACTTAGAGAAAAAGAGGATGACAGTTCTCACCACTCCAAGTAAGGGCAGATATTTGTGGACTAAAGGAACTAATGGAGTAATGGTGGTGTGTGTTTCCCAGCAGCTCTGGGTCCTTGAGCAACTGGGTGTGCCTCATCAGGTCAGGAGAAGACAGTTTTACCAGTGGGTTTCAACAGATATAATAGCAGCAATACCACTGTGCAATATCTTATTATCTTAGGAGACAGCCACAGAGCTCCTCCTTTTAATGGGCTAATTGAACATAGGCATGACACCTATAGAGTGGCCAGACTTTCACAGAAGGGTCTAAGCATAAACAATGCATAGTCCTTTACCTTATAAGCAAGTTGCATCATCCTGCTCATAACCTAAGGCCTATTGTCTATAGCTTCTTTCAGAACAGTCTAATGATCAAAGGGGACAGATTCATTAAAAAGTGGCATTTGCTGTGGGGGGCAGGGTGGCAGGTCTCAAAACAAGATGTTCCAGAGTCAGAGTGAGGAGGGATGCTTACCAAAGTTTTAAAGAATGAATCGTTTTACTTGTATTAATGCTTCCCATTCGTTTGGAGAATTATTCCTAGAATGTTTGAAGTCCTAGGAAGAAACTAAAGATGAGGACATTTTACAAGTGTGAATTCCTACAGTGTCAAAAATAAAACAAACAAATGGAATTCTTTATCCAAATGAGTGTATCTTGTTCAAGCAAGTTGCACCAAAGCCAAACCTTTAAAATGTGGATTTATAAAGTGAATTATCTCTTTCTGTTTTTTATATAAGTATTTAAAGTTGAGTAATATTTTCCTTTTCTATGCTTATTATACTACCTGGAAAATGAAAACTATACTAACTGTATACAATTTCAGGATACATTGGTTTCAAAATTCTTAAATGTAACTAATTTTGTGTGTTTCAGGTAAATTGGTTTTGACCATATTTAGTTGTAGTTTCATCCATAACAGCTTATCTTTTTGAACTATGGGTTTGTGTTCCTTCTTGTATTGTGTCATCATTTAAATTTATCAATTTAGCTGTAATCCAGGAAGGAAGAACTTGCCCTTGAGTGTTTGTACATATAGATTTCTACTAATAAAAATTGCCAACTACATTATAACACCTGTTTGTAAGAGAATCCATCATGCTACTGTAAGAAATTTAGAAATATTATATTATAGTACACATTAAACATTATTTAAATGAAATCACTGAAGCTAAGGTTGTTTGTGAAAAAGTACACAATTATAATATGTGCAGTAACAATACACATCCCTATTGTCTAT